GGTGGATCCATAGATGCCTCTGTCACCCGGCATGCTGGCTGCGTTCTCTGTGCTTTTTATCTTTCATTCATGTCCAGAGTCAAATGTAAGCATTTAATTTGTAACAAACTACTCAGAGCAGCGTAAATAATTTTGGGGATTGCTAGCCCTCTGCATGATTGGCTTTTCACATCAAATAGAAGCTCTAATGGTGGTGGCAGACATGAAATATGTTTTTACCTGTAGCAATATGAATTAGCTGCATTATTTTCCGTCCTATAAGGTCTTGTTAGGCCAGCCATAACAAGCACTTTGTTTTCAAAGGTTTGTCCAAGGCATAGAAATAGAAACACTCCAGACTTTGCCTTTGTTCCCTTTCAGATGTTTGTTTTCTCAGAGATTTTTCTCTGAATCAGGGAAGATATTTTAACTAATATCAGCACTCGTTGGCTGAGGCTTATATACATGTATTTTATATATAAAATACATACACAAAGTAATTCTAGGCACAGAAATCAAGAGTTCTGTGGGGAGCAGAGCCAGGTGTCCCACGCGGCTCTGGAGAGGACGTCGCTGCCCGTGGAGGTGTGCGGTCGCTGGTGCCCAGCGCGGCTGGGGCAGAGCGGTGCGTTCATCGAGGTAACACCACGTACCAGCAGGACCATGTCCACCAGTATTAAGTAATTCCACTGATGCTAGTTCACAGCCCAGGAGTCTCAAGTTCGTACATTTTTTGTCACCCTTGGCTCTGTGCGTGGCGTTAAGCTGTGGTGCCTGCAGCTCCTGCTTGGCCCCTGGCGCTGGGCTGGTGCTGGGTCTCGGTTGTGTTACTGGGAGGAGCGGGCAGCTCCCACGTGCTGCACCCGAGCGTTCCCTGCCGCTCCTGCAATACAGGTTTCTTTGTAGGTCCCTGGAGAAGCAAATGAGTTCTTTAATTGGATTTCCATGAAAATAAATATGAGCTGTTGACCAGGCTGAAGAAACTTAAATCATTAACGTCTGTAAAATGAAAGCGGGCCAGCGCAGCACTTCCCCCAGCCTGCAGCACCCCCGGCTCCGCTGCATTGCTCCTCTGTTACACGATGCTGACTGCAAGCCAGTGCAACAAAGAAATATTTACTGTTCCTGTATGCTTTCTCTGCACTGAAGCTTGACTACCAGTTACTCTGTATTAAATTATGTTTGGTCATGCCGGTGATTATACAGTTTCCAAGCAACCCGGGCATAATCTAATTTAACACACAACATGGATTTACTCCGCTCCCATTCTCCTTTGTTTTTCCGAAAGTGAATGTAAAGTGAGCAGGCGTCCACCGACACCCCTGGGAAACACGACCTGCCTCTTCAGCTGCAGGGACAGCGCTCCCGCGGGAGCCCTCGGCTCCCAGCCCGGGGTGTCCCCTCGGGTGGCAGAGCTCGGTCTCCAGCTCCTTTGGCTGGGTGCTTGCGGTAGCCAGCACGCCTCTTGGGATTGCACCAAGTGGGGCAGGTCGTCACGGAACAAAGTACCTTTGCAAAGCTGCTTGTTGGCGGTGCATTGCAGAGTGCAGGTATTTCCCCCATCGAGGGGCTGCGCAGTCTGTCCCACGCTGCCGGGCTGATCTCCCACCGTTCCCGGAGAGACGTGGGAACCATCGTGTGCTGTGAGGAGGAGGAACAGCCCGGAGTCCAAAAGTCAGCGATAGCCCAGCATGTTGCAAGCACCAAGCAGGAGTTAAGACGTTACTCTGCACGTTTCTCCATTAGTTGTTGCTTCCCACCTCCTGCTTGTGCTGGAAGTGACTTCTGCAAAGTATGGGTGGAGAGAGAACTGAAAAAGGACCCATCTAAATTAATATTAGTGCAATTGCTTTCAGAGTGCACCAGGGGCCAGAAAGAAACAGCAGGTTAAAAGGAAAATACAGCAAATACTTGGAAACCTTCTAAAGGGCAGCTCAGGAATGGCACTAACAATGCCTGCCGAAAAGCACCAACATTAAGCACACTTTGGGATGAGAACACTCCATCTTTAGAAACTGCGGCATTATTTTCTAGTACAAAGGACGATGAAGAGGTATAATTTATAGTGAATTATCGCGTGGATAATGGATGTGGAATTTGAAGGATGTGAAAGGTGAATCATGTTTTGTAGCATAGCTTTGGTAACCGAGCATTGCGAAGACTACTGCTGGAAAAGTACTCATGGTGCAGATCAGAAGTTCATGTGCCATCAGACGTGCACAACTGCAGAATGGCTTCCACACTTTACAAATTCAAAGCAAACACGGTAAAGAGGAGTTCGGTGCTGACTGCGGGACGGAGGCGAGGGCCAGCGCTCGTGTCTGGGTGCGTGGGCATTCCTCGGGCAAAGGGCAGAGCCGTGTCTGTGGCTGGCGCTGCAGGACCGTGTCCTGCTTGGGAAGCCATTAATAGTTTAGTCTGAAATAATTAACAGGACCGTGCACAGCTGCCTAGCCGTAATGAGTCAATGACAATGCAATTTATTAGAGTGATGTATTACATGGTAATGGTAATGAGAAATGGAGGGACCTAGTTTTGTAAGACTTAGATCAATTCAGTTGTTTTTTTATAAATGAACATTGTTTTACTAACCACAGAAGATCGTTAAAATTATTATTTTATTAGTACTTTTCAAAACTATTTGAATTACAGCTGCTTTTTTCAAAATCCAAATAGGATCATGTGAACGTGTGTCTGAAATATAGATGTTGTTGCAATGTAAAAAGGATAAGGAGGTGAGTTGGAGTGGGGGAAAAGGTTTGAATGCCTATACACGTAGGAGATTTTTTCCTGTAAGTAAGCAAGTCTTTTCCTAAGTAAGAATTTGTTTCCTATTGGACGACTTCTGCCTTTCTCTCCACTCCGTGAAGTTGTGACCCCCCTAAAGAAAGTTTGCTTCTGGTGCCAGCGTAGCTGTGTGCGCAGCTTGGCCTGCTCTTGCCTTCGGTGAGGACGGGGAGAGGCTCTGCACCCGCCTGGGGACGGGGATGCTCAGCTGGGCTGGGTGGAGGTGACGGGGAGATCGGGGTGGCAGCAGCCCTGCCGGGCAGCGCATCGCCGCCAGGCAGTGCATTGCCTCGCCGCCGGTGCGTGGCTCCTTCCTCCTCACATTATCATCTCTGTAACCAGAGCCTTTCTCTGGGGCAGTCCATCTCCCACAGCGCTGCAGTTTACTGACACGGGAGATTTCTCGGACACTTGCGATAAAATATTCAGAGCTTCCTGACAGTGGGGGAAGTTACGGGTAAGAGGGAGGTCCCACAAAGCTCCCAAGGGACTTTCTCCAGGAACTCTGCACCTTTGAAGTTGTAACCCAAGCCCAGGCTTGGTGGCAGTGACAGCTCTTGTGTATTCTCCAGGGACGTAACACACACCAGAGGTGAGACTTATTGCCTGAATGGGAAATAGAGCTGAAGTTGCTGTTGTTGGGGAGCTAGGCCAGCAGTCCTGAGCCCCTGTGCATCCCTCAGTGGTGAGGTCCTTTTCTGCTGCCCAAGGAGCCCTATGTAGGGATGATTGTGAACAGAGTCCTTTGCTGTATCAAGTGAGATTTGGATGAAAAAGGATGGAAAGCATCTTTTCTTTTAAGCCAGCCCTAGCTTACACTGTGCTGAAATAAGCTAAGCATGCACACAAATGAGCACGGTGGTGTCTTGGCCCCGGGACAGTAATAAAAGCTCATGGCAATAACTTTTTGGGACAATCCAGCAAGATCTGAGTCTCTCAGCCTCACTTTGTGCTAGCCTAGTGCATTTGTCCAGGGAAAACAGGAGAGAAAGAGGAAAGGGAAAAGACACTTAAAAAAACCCTTAGGCTAAAATTGTGTGATTGCACTGCCTGAAGTAATCGAGTTTCTTGGTTGAAGAGGTCAGGAGAAAACCAGACGAAAGAGTTGCGGAGATGGGGCTGTAGGGCTTCCACCGCAGGTCCTCGTTGTGTCACTCGCGCACGTGCCGTTGCGTGATGTGTCGTTGTGTGACTCCAGCACGTGACTCGGCCAGAGTCCGTGGTACCCGGCGAGGTTGGTCCGCGCCTCAGTCAGGTGTTTGCCACGGAGCAGCTGAGCACCCAGGTCCCCTGGCACTCACAGCTGGACACGTCCTGGGGACCTCTGTGCTGCATCCCACATTGCATCGTGCCCTCAGTGCCCGGCAGCGGGGCTCTCTGGGGCCCAGCCGGGGCAGAGGACGTGACCCAGGAGGGTTGCTGATGCTTTGCACCACTACGACCAGGGGCCAGACTGGAGCTACTCCAGAATAACCCCCCTAAATGCACATTTGAGCCAGATCCTCAGCGCGAGCCGTTTCACTTTGCTGAACTGATCTGCTCCCGCTGGGCTGCAATGCTAGCAAACATAAAAATAGATGGAGATGACAGGGAGGAAGGCTCGAGTGTCAGTGGGTCCCTGGGAGAGCGGGTGTCCGTGTCGGGCGGATTCCTCGGTGGGGCGGAGGAGGGCGCGTGTGCATGCACGTGGGTCCCGGGGTAAAGCCCGATCTTCGCCTTTCAGCTTGTTTTGGTTGGGCTGGATGGGGCTGACCTCTGGTGCAGGCAAAACCTTAAATGGGTGAGAAGGAACTGGATTTTGGAACATATTAGGTCACTCATTCAGCTGGAGAGCAGTGTGTGTCAGAGGTCCAACAATTTGTTTTTAGAAGGGTTTTAAGCATTAATGATTCAAGATGTTTTCCTGGGAGTGGTTTGCAACATGAGACTCAGTGGCCAGCGTAGCATCGGGGTTTTAAGGGATTAGTCAATTCACTAAGGCTGAAAGGTCTCTAGTAACACAATAGTTAAATTTGTACTTTTCCACATGGCTGAGCCTTCAAGGAGCTCACCAGGAGTGTAAAAAATGTAAACAGCATTGTAAGCTTTGTGCCAGCCATGAGGCAGGGAGGGGGTTTCCATGTGGATTAGTTCTATCACCTACTTTTTTTTTTCTTTTTTTTTTTTTTTTTTTTTTTTTTTTTTTTTTTTTTTTTTTTTTTTTTTTTTTTTTTTTTTTTTTTTTTTTTTTCCAGAGTTGCAAATAATCACAAGCAGAACCTGATGACTGTTGCTAATCTGGGTGTGGTATTTGGGCCAACACTGCTTCGACCTCAAGAGGAAACAGTTGCTGCCATTATGGACATCAAATTTCAGAACATCGTGATTGAAATTTTAATAGAAAACCATGAGAAGGTAATGGCTTCACTTGCTTCTTTCAGTGCAATTAATTTATGAAAACGAATTTGTCTCTCTTTACGAACTGCAGCCCCGTCTCCCAGGGCCCCCCTTGCTCCTCATGGCCAGCAGCACCGGTGGAGACGGCTTTGCTGCAGACGGTGGGGTTGTGCCGGGGAGGGGGGCAGCTGGTACCGCCCAGGCGTTCCTACCAGCGGTGGACATGACTTGGGATATGGCGTAGAGGCTCCAAAACTGACAGTTCTCAGGCTGTAGTTGTGTAACCGGCCCTGCTGGTAACCAGCCTTTTTTATGGTCATCTCAGTGTGAGTCAGCATGTCCGTGTCTCCACTGCAGAAATCCCCCTTTCTTTCCCCTTTCCATTGTTTAATAGGAATTTGTCCTTAGTTTCAAGAGAGATGAGCGCTGAAAGAAACTAGTGCGAGATGCACGCCTAGGCTGGCTTCCTGCTTTTCTGACTAAATCTGGGTTTATTCAAGTACTGGCTTTATCCACAACGTTGATCTCCTAAATTATGATGCATTTGTGTTTGTCAGCCGTAAGGATGTTCTCGTCTGTCAGTGGAGCAGAGGCGGCTCGGTGGGGCTGTGGCGCTGGCTGTCCCTCCCGGCCAGCTGTGTGGGGTGGCTGCATGCAAACGGCAGCACTAAAAAAATGCCATTTTCTTCTAAATTCAAACAGTTCCCTGTTTACAATCTTTTGTTCGTCTGGTTTTGTTCGGAAAGAAATAACTAATTTGTGCATTCAGGCTGCGAAGAAAGATGTAAAGGCAGGCTTGCCCCTGCCGTGGCAGGGTGGTATCGTGGCTCTGGCGTGGGGCTTTGCTTGTAGACGTCTTGAATGGGTTTCTTGCAGGTTGAGGTGCAAGGCTGAGCCTCTGGTACATGTAGTGCAGGCAGCAGTCCCGTGGCATGTCTGTGTGGGGCTGCAAAGGGGCATCAAATGCACAGCCAGTGGGGACGGGGAGACAGTGTCCGTTGTTGGATGTTCTTGGAGAAATTGCTGCCATGGGCACATAAAGGCCCTGGTATTTATTTAGGATGGAGGAGCTATTTTCTTCTCCTCTGCATGGAATGTAATGGCAATGATGGCTTAATTATGAGCTGCTCTGCACGGGGGTGTGCGAGCAGCGGTGATGAACCCGCGGTTGTGAGCAAAGCCCAGCTCCCCCAGCCCTGGTCCTATGTGGAGGAACCGGCATGAAACCTCGTGTCAGCCTTTGATGGTCACCTCCGTCTGTCTGTCATCTCTGTGTCGGTACAGGGAAGCATTCACCGCCTCTCCCTGGTGGTGATGAGCTCTTTGGCTGTGCCACCAGCGTCACGAGCAGCACGGTGTTGCTATGAGCGTGTTTTATCTCCCTTCTCCTCACTGTGCTTTATGGAGCCCTTCTCTTGTGGGCCCTAGTAGAAATAAGTCTTTCGACATTGATTTTTTTTCTGCCTGAACCGAGTCTCTTGCTGTGCCAGCCGAGCCCTCCATCAGCTGGCATCTGTGGAGGAATCGATGACAGATTTCTGCAATGATCGCGTCTGGGTGGGCTGCAGGGCTCGTCTCTGCTCGCCAGCCAAATTACAGCTCCTACCCCAGGGCGTCCCAGTGCTTCAGTGGTTCCCCCTCCTTAGAAGTAATTTATGGCACCAGCAGAAGGGTGAATCTGCAAGTTGGTTACATACATTCGTCACTAATTAATTCTGCGGGTGGGTGTACCTGCTGTCCCGGGCGCTCGGGTGCAGCAGGGGCTGAAGTTGCAGGGTGCTGAGCTGCCCTCGCGGGGCTCACAGGGCTCACGGGGCCAGGGCCGTCTGTGGCTGCCACTTCACACAAGGATGCTGAGAACAAAACGCCTGTGAACCCGTGTCCCCATTTCTCCAGGGCTCTTGGGAAGAGATCCTGGGAAGGAGGGGGATAGGAAGAGGTAACTCTGGGAGAGGAAAATCTCCTAAATGCAATGTTAGTGCCGGTTCAGCTCCTGCTTTAGGACTGTTTCGTTTCAGTGTATTTCTTAATTTGAATTGATTCAAGCTCATTGAAGATTCCCCACAGGAGCTGCCGTAGGTGATTAGCAATATGCAAGTTGCCGGCGCTTGTGCTGCTGGTGCTTTATATTGTTTTACACCGGTGACTCACAGACACTGTTTATGATTAAGTACATTCGCAGGGAAAATGTAATTGATTTGAATGGTTCCTGGCAATCAGCAACTGTCTGGTATTACATTTCCCCCAGGTAAGTGGAATGCCTCTCCCGTCAAAATTACTGTTGTCATTGTGTAACCAAAAAAAAAAAAGCAAGCTTCATGATGACATCTCTTGGTCTGAATAACTGCTGGCGGCTTGTTTACACGGTCGTTTCAGTAGGCTTATCTGATCGCTGGGGCAGTGGAGAGGGTTTCAGGGGGGTTAGTCAGCGTTCCCTGCTCGCCTGCCTGCGTTTGCAGTCACCCCACCTGACATTTGGCTCATCTTCCACCTGAGGTTATCCCTGGGGAAAAACATTCGTCCCAAAGCCATAAAAGTATCGGAGAAGGCTGCTGTAGGATACGGTGCCCATTGTCCAGTGTCTCCCCTGATTAACACGAACGTGTGCTCCCTTCGGCGGTACCTCCGGATTAACGTGTGCCCTGCGTGCGGGATGTTTCCGATGTGCCTCGGGAGCAATGTGCAGTTTTGAATCGTAGTCAGCAAAACAGGGACTTTCTGAAGGTTCCCGGAATGACTGGTAAATTACGGTCTGCTCTATGTTGCCAGAGCGTCCGACACAGACCATTAAACCCTGTGTGTAATCCAAAAAGTTAAATTGTTTCTGGAGATTTAACAGGTTTCCAGGTCTTGGATTCAAATTTTTTGTTATACTCGCAATAACAGCAATAAACTCTGAGACAGTTTTTAAAGCTTCTCAGACATGTTCTCCTCGAGAAGGTCTCTGCACATCAAGGTATCACAGCTCTTGCACTTATCTTTATGACTGCAGCTGCCACTGGGAACTGCTGCGTTTTGGGTGGTCTCCCATGGGTTGTACTGACACCAGATCTTCTGGAAATGTGGGATAGCATTGGGATGAGAGTAGGATCGGAGTGTGGGGAGGAGCGAATGACGGCTCCATTCACCTGCCGGATGTTCCAATGCAGCAAACAAGAGCCCTGAAAAAGCTGAGCAGGAGCAACATGCCCGGCTCTTGACTGCCCAACGCTACCCAACGAACCAACAAAATCATAGAATCATAGAATCATTTAGGTTGGAAAAGACCTTTAAGATCATCGAGTCCAACTGTTGACCTAGCACTGCCAAGCCCACCACTAAACCATGTCCCTAAGCACCACGTCTACCCGTCTTTTAAATACCTCCAGGGATGGGGACTCAACCACTGCCCTGGGCAGCCTGTGCCAGGGCCTGACAGCCCTTTCCATGAAGAAATTTTTCCTAATATCCAACCTAAACCTCCCCTGGCGCAGCTTGAGGCCGTTTCCTCTCATCCTATCGCTTGTTACTTGGGAAAAGAGACCGACCCCCACCTCGCTACAGCCTCCTTTCAGGCAGTTGTCGAGAGCGATAAGGTCTCCCTTCAGCCTCCTTTTCTCCAAGCTAATATTTATCCATTAGTGATTCTCAGCCTTTTCTGTGTATGTTTCTGCATACAATACATTAAGGTAATGTGTTATAAAATATATCATGATTATATATAATTAAATGGATAAAATGATTTTTCTCCTATGGGTCTGGATGTTGCCATGACAGGCAAACCAAGAGTGCATACTGTGCAAAAATAAATAAGAAAGCTGTGTTGTATGCCTAGTTACTCAAGTGATTGCTATTTAACACCATAATTTTAATTTAAAAATTAAAAGTTAGCCAAAAGTAATACGGAAATATTATTACATCTGACAATTGCAGATGTCCATCCATTTTCTTTTCCAAAGCCTAAATTTTTCTAACTCTCTGGAAAAGGCCATTGTTCTGAAGTGTTACAAAATTAAGAGATTGATTTACTTTCTTGATGATGTTCCCTGCAGATGAAGGATTGACCAGGTGAAGTGTTAATGCAGCCAGTATTGATGACAAATAGGAGACTAGTTTATGCAGGGAATTAACACAGAGCCGGACACTAACCTCAGTAAACAGTAAGGACTAATACTAAAGTCAAAGCCTTCAGCACCTCATCTTCATTTTATTCTTTCCTATAATTAGCAGAAATGTTTAGTAACGCTGTCGGCAGTGGGTTTAGCTGGTCCTCATGTAAGACTTTGTACCACTGACATTTTGAACATCACAGCAGCTTCTTATTCTCCAAGTTCCTTGAGCGAGTCCAGATGCAGCTTTGTGCATAGGACTACACCAAGCTGTTGGCCGGAGCAGAGACCAGGGGATGGATCTGTGTATGCTGTTACATCGCATCCCTCTGATTTGGGAAGGATACCTAACCCCTCTGGCTTTCACCGTCCAAGATGAGGTGCCGCCAGGTCTTTGCAGTTTTGCAGACAGGGGAGAAGGTGGTGTGGAGCCGCGAAATCAACGGTTGCATCAGGCTGAGCAAGCGCGTGCGGTACGGCTGTAAATGTGATTTATGAATCCTGGCTGCTGCTCTCCCACTCCGGCTATTAAACTGTCTCTCTCCCCCGTTAATTGGACTCTGTGACTGGGAGAGCTATAACACAGGTTTGCGCAGTGAAGAGCGTGTCTCAGCTATTCTTGTTAAATTAAAAAATGAAACAAACCTGAGGAACTTTCCTGTGAAGAAGAGTGGGGGTTTTGTGCAAGTGATGTCTGAGCTGAGGGAGATGGAGTAGGAGGTTTTGGTCCAGCAGTGCCGATTTCCTTTGCTGCTGAAGAGATCTGTCCTGTTTCCCGGTACACAATAATGGCAAAGTTGCATCTACAATGACCTATTTATCTTACAGTTCTTGGGGTCTCTCCTTAGATCTTCAAAATCAGCGTTGTGCTTTTTAAAATGTAGCTGTTAATTGACTTTTCTCCATTGTGAACAGCTAAATTTAGCCTGTGTGCTTTGTGCTGCTCAGAGGTGGGAGAGAGAGTGGCTTTTAATAGCCCTGCCTCCGCCTCCACATTGCTTCTGCTCCCCCTCTCCGGCTTTATCTCAGTGGAGATGCCGTAGTGGGCTTGGGACACCGAAGAGATTCGTGGTTGAAGACCATTCTGGAGAAACACTGGTGTTTCTGCTTCATCAGGAGGCCATGTTATGCTGTCGTCACCGCGGCGTGCCGGCCAGAGCCGTGGCTCTCCGTCCTGCCACAGTGCGGGCTGCCGGCCGTGCCGCCGGGGCAGCGGGTGTTCCTCTGGGGAGCTCACTGCTCGAGGGGCGAAGGGCGCTCATGGGAGAGGCTGTGGCTTAATAAAAGAAGTTTCCCTGCCTCCGCGAGCGCGGCCGGAGAGCGTGCAGCATGAGGGTGCAGTGCAGGCCATCTGCAGTGTGGATATTTGGGCTGATTAGGTGTTTTAACTGAAATACAAAGTTGGTTATGATAAGTTGGAGTGTGCAAGATCTCAGGTGCTGAAGCTTTTTAGTAAAACTGTTTCATAACAATGTTCCAGCTGCATTTAAAAATGCAAGCTCCTTATAAGCTGAGGCTGGTTTTAGTCACTGAGTTCATCACTTAAGAGCATATGTATCTTCTTTTATTAAAGACCAAAAAAAGGAAACGAAAACCTGGAAGTTTATTTTTAAGTGTGCTGTGGGAAATCATTGCATAAAATGCAATTCATAAATCAATACTTCTACCTTGCTTGATTTATATATTTCATTATATTTCCCAACTAGAATTTATTATTGAAAAGCAATTTGAAAGCAGGCAGTGGCCACGCTGTGTATGGCGAACGGAGCCCAGGACAGGTGCCCCTGGTACCGATTTCGGCCCCCTGTGCTGAGGATCCTGCCCCAGAGAAGCTGTATTTAGCACGTAGAGTGAAGGGCTCACGGCATGGGTCCCAGCAGCCGGGACAGGCACCTGAAGCATGTGCAGCTGTGTAATGTTTTAGCATGGTAAGCAATGTGCTACGAATAGCCCTTCTAACTGGGACCTGCGAGCTGGCCTGAGCACGGTGCCTTTGCTGGGGAGGGCTGTTGGGGAGCAGTGAGCAGAATGCAGCAGCCATGCAAGGGGCTGGGGAGCTGCTGGCTCCCAAACTCCCATGGAGAGCCTGGGAAACAGCCACTTTGGAGGTGGGAATGGCCGTGGGCAGGCGAGTGCAGGGTGAAAACGAGCGGTGCTGCATGCAGAAAGCGCGGCTTGGGCTGCTTCTCCCTCCGCTAATCCATAAGCCCAGGAGGAATGTGTGAATGAGCTCAGCAGAGCTCTCCAGGAAAGGCTGCCGTAGGACTCCATAACCCATCCATCTGTTTCGCAGCGTGCTCAACTATGCACAGTCAGACTCAACTGCTCACTTGATCGGTGCCGGTGCCAGGGCCTGCCGTGCACGCAGGAGTTTTGCACAATGATTCATCGCTGCTTCCTGCACCTCACCCCAGCTCTGGGCTCGGAAGCCGAACCTGAGCCCGGGCAGCGAGTCCCTCAAAGTAGAAAGGTTGGGGAATGATGTCCTTAGCCGCGAGGTGTTTGATTCATTGAGAACGTTCATTAGTTCCTCTCCGAGGGCCGTAAGTACTGCCCTTCACACCCGCCTCTTCATGCTTTTGGGGAGAGATGTGACATTAAAATTTTTGGCTAACGCATCTTGGCTCTTTAGCATTTATTTGTAGAAATCGGAATGGAGGGTTTATGTGTGTGTTTGAGGATTTTGTTGTTGTTACATGAAACAACCCAATTAACTGCTGGCAGCCGCTCCCGCTAGCTGGCAGGCGGCATTTTATGGCTTTCTGCAAGGCAAGGGCTGCGGGTGACCACCGGTGATGGCTGCGTGCTCCGGAGGAGTCACCCCAGTGCTGCGGCGGGCAGCGAGCTGCCTCTGAAATACGGTTCTCCTGTTGGCAGCCCCCGGCGGTGGCGGTCAGCTGTCTGGCAGGGGCAGGTAGAGCAGGGAAAGACACTGAGGGATGGTGTTTAATATACTCTAGCGAAGGGAGACCTTGAGAGAACTGGTCTTGAGGCAGCACTGCTGTTGTCTGAGCCTGGGGTTCCAGAAAAGAAACAATAAATAACCAAATATCAACAACAAACAAAACTGCTGCTCTTTAGGCTCATGCAGTTTTAAAATTCCATCCCCTTGAGAAAAATGCGATTACTCAGTTTGCTGACAGCTGTGGCTGGAAGTCACAAACACTTTCCCAAGCTGGTCAGCATCAGTGGGTGCGAGGGCGCCGAGGGCCGCGCTGCGGCGTGGGGACACGCCGATCTGTCTTGCCCGGGGCACTCTCGCTGGGGCACCACGCACCCTCAAAAACTCAGCAGCGTGCCAGAGTATCAGGGTTCTTCGCATCTTGCAACATGCATCTTGGGTGAAGAAGAGAGAAAAGGAGTGCAGACAGGGCGGGAAAGTGGAATTTAGGGAATTGTATCCAAAATGTTGCCTTGGTGAATGCATGTCTGCCTTAGACGCTGCTCTGCAGGGCGGTGCAGACCAGGCAGGTAGGCAGGCAGCTGTTCTGTTTGAAGGGGTGATGCCAAAGAACAACTTGTTTATTATTTTTAACAGATATTTAACACGGTGCCAGAGACTCCACCATCGAACTCGCAGCTGCTGTTATCTCGGAAGAAGAGCACGGACTCGAAGACTCCCTCCTGCAGCGAGAGACCACTGACGCTCTT